CAATGATGATTCAGTGATTCAAATTAAATTAAATCCTTTCTTTCTTTAACTATTACTATATTCAGCGTAATCAATATTTTGTCAAATTTTTTAAAAATAAATAAGCATTCCTAATAGCGGAAATAAAGTCTTCACTCCTCCCTGTCCATATTAATCTAGCAGTCGCAGTCAAAATATAAAAGACCGATCCGCAAGTTTCACTTTGTCCATTCCCAATCTTCACGGATGGACTGTTGAGGTTGCTTTCACGGTTGATTTCGCTTCATCGACAGGTGAACTTTTTTTTAATTTTAGGGCATTCTTTTTTCACTTCCAGGTAACCTTTATTTTCGAATAGTGGCATTAATGGTTATTGGGATGAGAGGAGGAAGGTCGGAGAAAGGAGCTGAGGAAATAAGTCAGTTGTCTTATCCTTCACTATATATAATTTAAAGGTTTTTGAGCTATTGACATATAGCTATTGACGTCTAAAGTAAAATCTTCGTAGAAAGCTTGAATTCAGGAATGCCTGCATCCTGTGTGCGGATTGTAAATGCCGATCGGGGACGCGTTTATAAGGCGTCTTTGTCGCTTTCCGGATGCGGGTTCCTATGTATATATCATGCTGGTGTATGCGCAGCTATCAAAGAACATGTCCCGCAGCTGTTGCAAAACCAAATTTCCGGTGCCTCTGCCGGTTCTATCATCGCCGCCAGTGTTATCTGTAATGTATGTATTTCCCAAGCTACGAGCTTCTTCCTCAGCGTCGTCTCTGAAGTAAGCACACCAGAAATTTTTTCTTCTACTGTAATGATTAAGACATCCGTCAAAAAACACTATCTTTTCAAAGTAAGGCATATTCAGTTTTTAGAAATTGAACTAATGCTCTTGACCTGCTGTCATTGTCATGTTTAATCATTTTTAGGCAAGGTCATACACATTTGGTGCTCTAAATCGAGATTTCGACTTGATGAAATTGGTGCGAATGAAATTGAATTCTATTTTACCCAGTGACGCTCATGAGCTTTGCACTGGTCGATTGAGGATTTCTGTAACTCGTTTCTGTGATATGGAAAATGTGGTATTGGATGAGTTTCGCACCAAAGATGAACTCATCGATGTATTTTTTTCTTTATTCATTTTATTTCACTTCATGACATTCACTGATAGCAGACTAAATAGTCACATTATGATGTGTACTTTATTTATTTGGCTTGCCGTGAAATATACATATGTCCATGTTTTGGTGTTCCTGTTAGATTAATCTTAAATAATGAATAAACAAGTAAAAAACTTTTACAATCAGGGAGTGGAAATGAGTTTGCTATAGCAGTTAAGAATATTCAGCATTTTTTGCTGTAAAATATGGATGACAGGGATGGAAATTTAAATGGATAAGAAAAATTTCTGTGCACGATGGTCATTGCAGGCAATTTGTTGTAGCTGTTTCATTCCGGTATACGGCGGCTTTATTTATCCAACATTTCGAGGGGAAATTTACATTGATGGTGGTGCTAGTGATAATCAACCGATTACTGATATTGATACCATTACAGTTTCGCCATTTTCGGGTGAATCTGACATTTGCCCGACAGATGAGGAAAGTGCAAGGTTAATATCTTTGTACTAAATTGTTTAACTAGAACCTGTTACACTGAAATTGGTTTCCATTATTCCTGACTACACTAGATCCGCTAGGAACTCAGATTGACCATTAGAACCGTAACCTGACTTAAGATGGACTGGCATTGGAAAATGTCGAATTTTGATAACACATTGAGGTTTTTTTCCAGCTGCTTCATTTCAAGAACATGACATTCGCTTTTAATTTTAGCTTGTTTGAATGGAATTTTGCTGGAACTTCTATTCGATTAACAGCGAGTAATTTGTATCGTGCTGCTTTATGTCTTTTTCCTCCGTCTGTTGAAGAATGCATATCCATGTGCCGTAGTGGTTTCAATGATGCCTTGAAATTTCTTGTTAATAATGGTAAGTAGAGGAGAACAATGATATTTCGAGCTGAAACTCTGCGAATAATAATAATAAAGAATAACAAACCTATTTATTCATGTGTTTCATATTCAGTTTATCAATGTGTCGTGAAAAATACCTGTTTTTTTAAAATTAATTAACGAAATGGGAAAAATTTTTCACGCATGAAGTTTAGATTCATTTGTTTAATTTGCTGAATTTTGAATTCTTTCGATTGCTGGAAGGCTTTTTGTTTGTGGCAATTTATTCTCATTTTCAGGATTCACATCAAATGCAGTTTGCTTTTCGGTAAAAACTGATTTATCGACCAAGTTGAATCAAATAAGTAAAGTAGTTGATGCTGGAATATCATCGAATTCGGCGATATGCCAAGAAAGGTTCTGTTAAAGTCCGCAAGTCCTCATTCATTAAATGGTTTCCGGGTTGCGGACTCTTCTTCTCGCCTGAAGTGCATTTATAATACAGATTTCGACTTTCCATCAGAAAATCCTCATTTTTCTATTTGTATATCCATGAAAGTTGTGCTCAGTAATCTAGTCTAAGTCACGGGGCCACATTTTCCGAAAAACAAATATTGCTTTTGCTTTGCAACTCACATTTAATGCGTTTTACATCAAACTTGGTTTTCTTTTTTAGTAATCTTTTGTCGAGATGTTAAATTAGCAAAAAATGCAATGGCTTGCATTTCCCATTTATTTCAGTTGTGTGAACGGAAAAATTGAGCGATATATTGATGCTGTTCTGACAACAGAGTCCACTCAATTACCGCAGTCGATGCAGAATGGTAGCAATTCATTTTCGTTTTTTTTTAATTGCAAAAATGTTCAGTAATTATATGTTTTCAAATTATGACTCAGAAGAATCCTATATATACATATATATCTATAATCTATGTATACATATATGTATATATATATATATATATATATATATATATATATATATATATATATATATATATATATATATATATAT